CTAAAGGAAAAAGTCATTGTCAAAGAAAAAACAAAAGGAAAAAAAGAGCGGCTTGAAGAAAAGAACCTGGTACCTGACTTGCTATAGATACCAAAATTTGAAAGCAGCCAACATTTTAACGTTAAGGTTAGAAATAGCAAGGAGCTACAACATGCACTGAAAAATGACTGCTTCCACACTTACACATTAGGTACCTTCAGCAAATTTATATTCTGTTGGAAACAACATTAAGTGCTACATGACATATAGGTGTATGTATTGCCTTTTTAAACAGAAACACAACAGCCACTCGATGGCAATTTCTCACTAGCAAGTTATAATTTCGTCTGGCCACCCAGTTCTCTTGATCCTCAATATCAGGAAACCAGATAATTCTGCTCAAACAAAATGTATCTAATGTGAAGGCTTTCTGAGATAAGCAGTGAGCAGCTTTGGACAAAACAAACTCAGAGAGAGCACTGAAATTTGAATTAACACATAGTGGTGCAGAAACCAGCTTTTCCACATATACTCTAACATACCTTTATTCCTTCTGTTGATGATATCAGTGCATTACCAGTCAGTAAACTTATATAGTCAACCAGTACTTTAATAGTCAGCCATATGATATGTCTTCACTATCAAGTTAACTCAAGTTAGGCCTCTTAGTCTAACTCAAGAGACAGCAATCACACTGAGCCTGGTTCAGCATTCATTTGTATTTGGCACCTTGATCTCTTGGGGTAGAAGTTGTGGCTCTTACTGCTACAAGTAAATTGAGCCACTTTTATGACTTCTGGAGAACTTACCTGATCACATGATAAAGCATAGGAGGACTAGTAGCATTCGGAAGTCCTGAGCGCTCATGTTATAAGCTAATAATTTGTTCTTACTTGAGTTTTAGCTTACACCCCCTCTTTGGCCAGCCAAACCAAGCAGAGAGTGCTTTCACATTTAAGATAATGGATTTTTGCAGGGAGGAAGGTGAGGCTTGAATTAAGACAATGACAGGGTGGAGTTATAACACCAGTTAACTTTGCACTGAAGACAAGTCTTCTAAGGCTAACAAAGAACTAATTATCTGGAAGCAAATTAATAAAACTGTCAAAAAGGATCATTTTGCCCAGTCAGTAAAATACTGAATGGAATATGGGAGAAAGGCAAAGAGTTGTCTTAAGTACAGAGAATCTGTTGCAAATGAACATTTCTCTACATCAAGTGTTACCATCTTGTGTTGCCAATCAGAGGTGCCCATTCGGTATATTCTGTAGAACAGTGGTTCCCAGTGGTTTTTTTTCATGGACCACTTGAAAATTGCTGAGGGTCTCGGCAGACCACTTAGTAAACTTTTTTTTGTTCTACAAATGGAAGCAAATAACTCATATTTTAATATCAGTAGTCTTACAAGTAGATATTCTTGATTGTTCCTCAACCTTTCTGCAGACCACCTGAATGGAGCTCGCGGACCAGTGGTGGTCTGCGGACCACAGTTTGAGAACCTCTGCTGTAGAACAAGAGCAGGATCTTATCCTACAGGAAAGCCACTAAGATCAAACTGATCAAAATTAAAAATAAATTAGCTTTGAAAGATTTCAATTCTCCTTAAAAGGATTATAAGCTTGGAGTTGCAAAGGTTGTAAATGCATGCTTGGCCGTTTCCTGCAGGACTAATCTCTACTCAGTAGTCCTCCACTCTAATATTATGCTTTGACCTGCATAACAAGACCTGCACCTGCAGGAGTGGTGCAGGTATTAAACTGATCTCTGTTGCAGTAGGTGTGATTCTTTTAGTAGGTGTCTACTTCCAGAGATTCATTGCTGTGCAAACAACTATTTATTTTGTGTAGAAAATGTATTCCGTTAAGCATGATTCCTTATCTGGCCTATTCCTGCACTACATGTTCCTTTCTGAGCCCTGAAAGTTTGAACTTTTCACAGATTTCTTCCTTTATCATGTCATGTCAGAGGGTCTCTCTGCATTTCAATGTGCTACGTATTTTAGACAGTTGCAAGGAAAGAACTAACAGGAGTTCCTTTAAGCAGGATCCACTCTATCAATGAAATATCAGTTCTGAAAAACCTGATTCCTCCCACTGCCCAAACTACTCTTCATATCTAAACACCCGCAGAAGTCATGCAGTCTGGGGAAGTCCCTCATTCCCCCTTTTAAAAAACAATTTTCAAACAAAGCCACACCAAGTCCATTCATCCAAGTCAGTGTTTCAGACTTGAGGGGCAGCTTGTGCACCCTCTGGAGATACCAGGAGGTCAAATTTTATCAGTGGCCTAGCAATCGCCCGGACCTCCTCGTTCAGAGGGTTTAACTTCAGGTTCACACTCCGCAAGGACTCCATTGAGGCAAGCTTTTCAACAGGGACATCTGGAACAAGAAGAGCACACAGGAAACAAACATATGGATTAAAGGGCATTACCATACAGCAGCTAACCAGGTGCTTTGGAATTTAAACAACATTATAATTCATATTTTTTTAGGTACTTCCAGCCTGTGAGGTAAAAGAAGAAGCTAATATGAGACAGTGAGCATATAAGAGCACTGCACAAGTCATTGAGGCTGTAGGGCTCAGTCTCGGGAAGATCTGGTAGCACTTCACTTCCCATTTCTATTGCTTGTTCATAAGAAAAGGATTTAGTTGTATCAAAAATATAAACGACACTCATTATGGGTACAGGAAGTGGCCCAGGCTTCTGTACCTGCTGTGCAAAATGAACTGATTTTAAGGTCCTAGTCAGGCTTTCATTGTAAGCATTTGCTTTCTCACATTTGTTACGTTCAGAAAAACATTTCTTCTATGCTCATTTCTTGGCACACAGGTGAATTATGTATGGAAAGTCTGAGGAAGACCATGTTAAGTTATGAGAGAAAAAACAGTTTATCAACTTCAAATGTATTGGCTGCTCATTAAACTACTCGGCAATTTCTCAGTCTCCATCAGGGGATTCTGCATGCTGCACTGGAGTACACACAGAACATATCCCTTTCTTCCCCTCCTGACATAAAGGAAAGTTAATAGCCCAAATAGGAGAAAACTTTTCAGGATGGGAAATTATGGATCTTGCCATTCTGACATCTATTCACAGTTTGCACTTTCTAAGCTTTCATTAAAAAATAAAGAAATGATATTTCTATCTTTTCAATTACAAATAGTTCAGATTCAAGATTCAACATCAATATGTGTCAAAGGCCTGTCTGGTCATAACAGTTCACAGCAGAACTCAAAAGGATGAAACACATTTTTTTTTCTGTTTCAAGCCTCAGATTCTTTGGATCACAGTTACCAGGTGAAGCTCAGGGGAAGTGTAAACTATTGTTGTATTGCTTTTCCTTCACTTACCATATAATTCAGATACATGTTTTTATGAATTCTGTTTTTCCAAGACTTACCACCCTTCAGTATTGTGGCACTGTAATACCTAATCTCATTTGATTCTAAGAAATTCTAAATAAGAATTGTGGCTGAAGAGAGAGCAGAGAAGTGGCAGACACTGCTATATTCCATGTCCCTGTATTTATGAAAGAAGCTCTGAATTACTATTAGATATATGTTACTACCTCGGCAGCCTTTGTCCCTATGCTCACAGATTCCTTTTCTTATCTCTTTAGAGCATCAGCCTACTTAATCTGTAATTTACTGATGACAGATCACAGTCCCATGCAACATGCCAGGAGCAGCATCAACAATTCCAACTGACTGTACTGGTCGTGACAGATAGTTAGCCATATTAATCTGAAGTCAAGCAGAACGTAGGGTACATTTGCACCTTATAGACTAACTAAATTGCATCCCTGCCTTAGTATAGTTGCCCCAGTAGAAGGTAATGAATGGCAGGTCTGGGATGTGTGGTCAACATAGCTGATCTCCCAGGAGGCCAGTTAGTGAAAGTAGTTTGCTTGAGGCAGGGTCTTGAATGCGGCACCTGGTGTACTCATAGCAGGGATTTTCTACTGGGGCATGTTGCAAACACCTATTAAAATGCTGCACATTCAGCAAACAGAGGAGCCAGGAAATATAGATGTGCACCTGTGTGTAACAGTGAAGTGGGGAAAAGGTTACACACATAATCAAGTAGCTGCAGAGTAAGTTTTAAGTGGCTGCCAGTGCCTGTACTCTCATTTCAGGTTCCCAGGGCTCAAGATCCTCCTCTGAGTGCAGCCACCCACATGGAAGTTCACATGACCACTGTCATTTTCTTGGCCCGTGATGTCCTGCACTATTAAGGTATTAAGAGTCCCATACTGGGTTTGTGCGTCATCCCACAATAAGGTTGTGACTTTCTCTTGTCACGAGGCATGAAAATGAGGTAGTATGTAATAAGTCATTTGTACCAAACCAAATATTACACCTTTCACACTAGTAACCCTCTGACTTCTGAGTTCTCATAACTGTGCTGATTCTCAGGCAATTGAAAAGAAAATGAACTGCAGTGCAGACTCCAAGAAATAAAAAATCTCACTCCCTTGAGCCAGCAGGAACTAGAAATGATGCAAAAGCAAAAAAATCAGACTCATGCAAGATGGAGCATTTCATATTACTCAACAGTGGGCGCATCTACACAAGACACTTTACCACACAGTTGACTAATTGACTCTGCAGTAAAGCACCAAAGCCTACACGTGCAGGCACTTACTGTGCAGTCAATTAGTCTATTGCATGGTAACAAATTAACCATGCCATAGTAACTGCACAGAAGCACACATGTAGATGTTGATCAGGAGCAAATTTGCTTCTGGTAAGCCCCGTCGCCAAGGGGCCACCCTCAGGCTAGCCCCAGGGCCACAGGGACTGGAGATTCTTCAGCCCCTGGGCTGGGGCAGCTCATTGCTTGGCCCAGCCAGATCTTTAAAACTCTGTGGTGACCCCAGAGGCGTGTGCCACCTGCTGCCTGCCTCTGGGTCCTGTAGCAGTGATCCTTGGCCAGCCACAGCAACCTGCCCAGACCCCAGCACTGGACCCGCTGCACTGTGCATAGCAGGCACCTGCCCAGGCCCGGATTCTCACCCACAGCCCCTAATGGCCATCAAGGAAGCCACACTGGGGTTGCTCCCAATGCCACATGCTGCTTCTCGAGGGCCTAACTTGGTCCTAGGATGAGACTGTGGACTTCATAGCACTGTGGGGTGAGGATGAGGTCCAGAGCCAGTTCACCTGGGGCAGCCCCTCCAACACCCACATCTATGAGGGCCTGGAGTGTGGGCATGATCACTCGGCGTGCCAGTGCCTCATAAAGGTCAAGGCCCTGCAGGTAGTGTGGGTTCACGTCACCAACGACCACTGCCAGTCAGGGGCTGCCTGAAGGACCATGCTCTTTATGTGGCAACTTGACTATACCCTTGTGCCCCAGGACCTTGGGGGGAGCTGTGCTGTGTTCTCCAGCATGGGTGGCCTGCTGGAGCCTCCACTTAGGCCTGGCAGCAGTGATGAGACATCAGGGAAGGACGAGTCCATTCCACCATGGCCCCCACTCCTACTCCCCCCCCCCCCCCCCCTTGCCCCCCCCACCTGGCACCCGGCGC